TATATACTATATAGAAGCGCCTTGAAAGCAGCTGTAGGTCGTCATGCCAGCTTGCCGACCAAGGGCTTCTTTGGTAATTTTAGGTGATTCACTTATTTTGATTGGTTTAGCTTGTGTAGGTATTGTAGTTGTATTGTTAGTTTTAGGCTATGAAGACACTTTTGCCATTATGGGTTCCATACATTTTCACTGTAGACTACTTGGCTCGGTTGATTGGACAAACTGAATGCATCATCGCTCTTTTATGCATTAGACTGCCACGTGTTCTAGGAAATGATGATATAGTACTTGGTAGACAAAAAAGAATATTTAGTTGACTACAACAAAAGTAGACTTATTTATTTGTATATACTGTTACTTTGATTAATCTAATTTGCACATTAAATTTTAAGGTTAACGGGCCACACCAGTGTACCCCTTTCATCATATAAGTTTATTTTGTTAAACCTAAGTTGGAATATGTTAGGTAAAAAAAAGTTGTACAGATTTAAGTAGAATTAAAGAAAATATTCAGGACAAATGTAGCCACTTAATATTACACAAAATGACTGCTCGCTGAAATTTTAAAATTATATAATTTTATTTGAAAGAAAAATCGTATTTAAATTGTTTAACTTTAGAATTAATTAAATTGAGTTCCGGTAGATATAGATTGTAGATTCTTACTGTAAGATACAATTTAACTGGTTATAACATATTATATATGTAGCTTAATCTCGAAGTTATCTACTCATACTAATAAAATAAGTATTTCTTTTCTACTCAAATAAAAAGGGAACACTTGTTTTCCCGTTTGTGTGCACATCAAGAATATTAAATTTTTTTTGAATATGAACACAATATTTACATTAATATAGATATGGTTACTCAAACTATATTATTTTTCGCATAAAAGTAAATTCGAAAGAAATATTTTATTATTTAGATATTTTTGTTATTGTAAAAGATAAATCACACTTTTAGCTTATATTAGCTGAGCGAAAGACTCATTAGTTTTTTTCCTTGTAGTACTTAAATTTCAACTTATGAATAAGAAACTGAACGAATAAGTCAGGGACAAGAATATATTTTGTTATATAACTTAGATGATGTATTTAACTTTGTTAAAATACTCATAATTAAATGTTATAACAATCATATACAAAATTAAATTGTATGATGATTGATTTTTAAAAATTGTATTAGAAGATAATTGATATTTTCGCTTGGAATTTAGTGTATTAAGAGTTGTAGATGTTAACTTACATCAAAATCAGGTGACATTTATTTTTTCAAGCAACCAAATCATTTTAGAGAAAAAGAAATATAGCTTCATTTAGTAAACCTTTTATTATGATTACTTTGAAAAGTTTAACCCTATAAACTCTTTATATAACAGCTATATCAAATGCATAATAAAGCATTTGTAAAGAACTTTGTGAATAGTTAATTTGGTCCACTGCTTTCTTCAAATGTTAGAAGTTTTACTTAGATAATGTGGCTTCCACATATTTGTATTTTTAATCTAGCTAAAGTGCGATGACAAACAGTATGATCTGCATTATACAATGACAAACAATATATGTTTAAGTAAATGTCATCGTAATAAATTAAAAACATATTCTTTTTTCATAACCTTGCTCTAATAAATAATACACTATATACAACATTTATAAGGTTTTTCCATGTTTATTTGTATTTAAAAGACAAATAGCTGATAATTTCAGTTAAAAGATATTCTTATAATGTTATATCAAAATTTTGGTATTAGCATCTTATACAGGATGTGAGACTATAAACTTGGGTTTAATACAAATTGAATTTTGGATTAGAAATAGTGTAATACAAATAGCGCGGGACCAATGGCATCTAGTATTAATAGAAGACCTTTCGTAAGGTGGGAACAAAACGTGATTATTGTAAAGTCTTCTTTGCTAAGAAATACGTATTTATTTCCATATTTAAATATTACTTTTTAGGAAAGATGCAAGTCCACCCAACCTAACATTTTCCTACCCACTAGCCTCTGTCCTTCTCGTGATCCTCTATACAATATGAGGACTATCTTTATTTGTATATATTTTTTGTATTGTAGGTTTGAAATTTACTGGTTCGACTCATTTAAATTTAGTCATATAAACACTAGCTGCCGATAATTGCTTCATTTTAAAATTCGAAATCTCTAATTAAAAGTGAAAAAATCTTATTCTATTTTACCACACTTGCTGGTAATATTTATTTATGTACTCAATTGTACTATTTTGTCTCTTTTCGTCTTTTTCCGTCTTCTTGAACTGAGGGTCTTTCGAAAATAATCTCTTTTACGTATACACTACCCTCTCGAAACTTCACTAGTGAGATTTCACAGGTCGTTGTTGTACTTAATTGTACTATTTTGTCTCTTTTCGTCTTTTTCCGTCTTCTTGAACTGAGGGTCTTTCGAAAATAATCTCTTCTACGTATACACTACCCTCTCGAAACTTCACTAGTGAGATTTCACAGGTCGTTGTTGTACTCAATTGTACTATTCTATCATCTTGTCTTTTGTTTATTCATTTTACTTTCTAATATATCTCTCTTTTTCACCATCTTTTGAAACCTTTTCCCGTGTTTTAATTTTCAAATCAAAACCTTGTGGGTACATAATGACGGTGGATTGTACTCTTGTTTTATCTCTTTTTTTTAATTTTTTTTTAAATTCAGGAGGTGGGGTAATAGCGGACCTTCCAATTATAAAACAGAAATTTTCACATTAAAGTTTTTTATTTTTATTTTTCTTCTTTTTTGCGAGAAATGGTGATTTGTGAATGGGGAAAGGCAAGGGAAATTAAGGGAAGGATTTGGTCAAATTTGAATCCTACACCTAACTTGGTCAAATTGAGTCCTACACCTAAGTTACGTGGAGTTAAATTATAACGTTTACATAAAATTTAGGGACGGAGCTACATAGACCTAAAAGAGGATATTTGAATTATTTCTTGAAAAATTATATTGCGTAATAGAATATTTTTTTTTGAATCTACTTGCTATAAAAAAGTTTCAATGTAGCAGCTAGGGGTGTACATGGATCGGGTTGGTTCGGTTTTTATCAAAACCAAATCAAACCAACTATATCGGTTTGGATTGGTCCGGTTTTATCGGGTTTTTGGGTTTTTTTATTACATGAATATTATTTCAATCTTACTTTGTTAAAATTATAGATAAAACTTTGATAAGTGAATATATGTTTAGTAAATATGAAAAAAATTGACAAACATATGATCTATTAAAATATTCTAATGGGAAAATTATTTTAGTAACACATGATAGTTATTTTCTTTTTCGTCTAACAATACTTTTTCATTAATTTACGCTTTCAAGGTGAATACATCCCAAATATTTATATATTTTCTAAAGAAAAATCACTATAATGTCTTAAAAATATAAATAAAATTTATATATTTATATGTCGGTTTGGTTCAGATTTTTTTACTCAATACCAAACCAAGTCAAACCAAACTTAGTCAGGTTTTTTAATCAGTTTGGTTTTTCGGTTTGGTGCGGTTTTTCGGTTCGGTTTGAACACCCCTAGTAGCAGCAATTAACTCAAAAATTGTTTTAAGTCGTAGGTTTGATTTTCCACGGTAACATTATTATATTTTTTTTCCAACCCTTTTATTATAATTTCTCCTCCACTATGGGTAGATATTTCTTTTTTTGGTTTTGTTTTTCACTCTCAGGGGTTGTTTGGTATGATGTATAAGAAGGTATAGTGTTGGTATAAAATTTAATACCACCTTAATATTTCGTTTGGTTAGGAAACCAGGTATAAGTTATTCCAGGATTAAAATTAACACCTGGATAACTTATACCTTATAGAGGGTGGGGTAATTAGCACCGGTATAACTTATACATTTTTCTTACAAATTATGCAATTGTCATATTTAATACAACATACCAAAAAATGGATAAAAAACAATTCCAGCATAACTAATCTCAGCATAACTTATCATGGCATAACTTATACCGGTATAACTTATCCTGACATAAGCCGTATTCAAACCAAACAACCCCTTAGTGTGGTGTATTTTCTTTGGTGCCCGACTAATTCAGATTTGCATTGGAAAGATTCACTTTTGAGCATTAAATGTTGTGTACTAAAAGCGTCTCTATTCTTAGGACTCAAACCTAAAATTTTGGTTAAGAATGACAGAGTACTTACTATTTCACCACACCCGTTAGTGGTGACCATAGGTAAACTTCAATCTCACTTTGAAGGGTTAGCTTTAAGGCAACATAAATTGAATGAAGATGGATAGGCAGACTCCAAATTAGGTCTAAAAAAGATGCATTAATTGAATGAAGATGGATTGCCANAAAGCAAAAAACGTGCAAAATTTTCTCAAATAGTGTTTGGTCAATTATTGGAGACCAACAAGATAGTCATACCAAACCAATTATACAACATTACAGATCATAACAAACCATTATAAAAAAAAATCTTAAAAAATTTCAAGCAGGCATGTTTGACCTTACCCCACTTGTAATTGTGGCTTGTTTGATTATTTCCATTACCATCTTTAGTTTTAGTTTTTGTATATGCTTTTATTTATTTATATGTATATATATATATATATATATATAGGCAAAGGCGGTGGTGCCGGATTCAACTATATTTCACTGAATATCTGCTATTTATTCATATCTTAGAAATTATTTAAAGAATTTTCTCAGTACTGGAACCCTATTCTCCTATATGATTTTCATGCATTTCATTAATCACTAGGTCGACCGTAGAATGCTAGTATATGCTATATTTATTTTATTAATTTTTTTCCCTTTACTTCTATAATTTTCTTGTCTATGATAGAAACTACAATTGGAGCTCTTCCTTTAAAGGGAATGAATTATTTCCAAATACCTTCAAAATCTTGGAAAAGAAATCATGTATTGCTTTTTATCAAAAAACAATAGAACCATACAAGAAATACTAAAACACAAAATACAAATGGAAAAACAAAGTAATTTGCCTTATGACAATATAACAAAAATCAATGAAAGTTGATGAATCAAATAGTACATATAAGATACTGAACAAACATCCTTTAGTCTTAATTACAAAAAAATTCTCAATAACAGTAAATCAGATCTAGTTAGATAATATTGGCTTCAATCAAGCTTGAAACCAAGAACAAAAAAACTTGAAAAATACTTTGTCAATTACTAGAAAGAAAAAAAGGGCAACCCAGTACACTAAGCTTCTGCTATGTGCGGAGTCCGAGAAAGGGCCAGACCACCCGTGACTTCGTGATCACATAGCAATAACTTTACCAGCTACGCCAAGGCTCCCCGTCTACCAGTAGTATTACCAAAATAACTAAAAGAACTGCTCAGTTTTCACTGGAACAAATTTTGCACCTAATCCAAGCCATGCCTTATTTTCCTCAGTCTTAGAATCTGCTATTTTTTTGTTGTAAATCTGATATGGTGCAGTTGAAGTAATTCTATCTTTTCTTTTCTCCAAAAATCTTGTAAGTGAATTTCGTCTCGCAATTGGTAAATCAGCAACAGAGGATTGTGATATTGGCACGTGAGTTCGCGTACGAAATTCTTGAGTCAAATTGGTAGTAACAGATTCAGCTGATTTTTGATTATTTACCATAGGATAAGAAAATATGTTACTAGCCAAATTCTGTTTGTTGTTGGTTTTCTTGGTAGCCAATTTCATGATTTCATTTGCTTTATCTGCTGGAAAATCATCAAATACAATAACTTGACCACCATAAAATATAGTCATTTGTGCCTTTTCTGGTTCAGATTTTGCAGTAGAAATAACTTCTTGAGGAAAAAGATTCATTGGTTTTTGAGAATTTTTCTCAGCTGAATCACCTGATTTTTCAATCATTGGCAATAAATTCATAGTAGTTGTAGTTGTTTGGTTTCCTGTTTCAAGAAATAAGAGAAAAATACATCAGAAAAAACTCCTCCAACTTCTAAAATGTTAAAAAAAAAAAAAGAGCTGAAATCTTGAAACCAGAATAACTGTTTTTCTTTTTAGTCTATCCTAAAAAGAATCGCACATTTCTACATTTAGAAATGATTCGACTCTAAATTATGTATATTTCATGTTATGCATCACGAGTAAGGGCGGAGCTAGAAGCCCCTTTAATTCGAACAATATATTTGTGTTAAAAAAATTCATCAAAAATATACAAATATTAAATATAGAATCCATTTAATAGCACTTGAAATTCTCGTTCTAAAATTTAGAACCCATAAAATTGGAATTTGAACTCTGCCGATACATTCACAAGTTTTCAAGTTTTTTTAATTTTTTCTTAAATTTCGTGCTCAGTTCAACATCGACACACAAATTAAGGGGAGGTAATAATACTAGCTAAGATGGGCGTATCTAGTGTACTGTGGTCAGCATAATCTAGTAGTTTGGCTCAAACACTGTATTTCATTAAAAAAAATTCACCGAAAATGTGTACATAATTTATTCAGAACCCAATAAGCTTTCTTTTTTATAATCAAGAACCCACAAACTTAAAATCTTTAACTCCTCTATAAATCACAAGCTTCAATATATTTTTTTTATTTTTTTTCTCAAATTTCGTGTTCAGTTCAACACCGATACACAAAGGCAATACTAGCCAAAGGGGGCGGATCTAGTGTACTGCATACTATCAGCATAACCTAATAGTTTTGTCTCAAACTCTATATTTTAATGTATAAATAATTCATTAAGAACCCAGTGACCAGTCTTTTCTATAATCAAGAACGTAACTCATAAACTTAAAATTCTAGCTCGGTCTGTAATAGCTAACACCCTATCTAGCAAATGATAACAGAAAACAGCTATGGATTTAAAGTTAATTTTTTAAGGAGAGGATAAAGAGTAAATGGATATAAATTAAAGAACATACCAGTTGGTTCAAAACTGCGGTAGATACCAAGATTATTGAGATCTCCAAAAGAACCTTTTTTCTTCAAGAATTGGCTCGAAAGATTACAAGTTTGAGAAAACTGAGACTTCTGGCCGGTGACCTTGCCGGAATCTACAATCTCCGATGACCCCATTTTGTTTTCCGGTGGCAAAAAACTAAATATATCAAGAATCTGTAATAAGCTTGAGAAAGATATTTGTAAGTTGAAATAAATTTGGAACTATTTGATGAAGAATCTGTTTTGAGTACAATGTGTATATATATATATGAAAAAAAGATATTGGGGGGGTGTTGAATGGTGGGGTGGGTGGGTAAGAGGGGGGGTGGCTATACCTATTTGTTAGAATTAATGCGTGAACGAGGAACACGTGGGGTTTTCAGTACATTAATGTAGTAAAACTCTGGTTTGTGGTTTTGTTTGTTTGGTTCAAAATTCAAATACAAAAAGGTTTTGATTTGAAATGGGAAATGAAATTATTAAAGTATGGACAAAGAAAAAACAAAGGTAATCCATAATTCAAACACGTTTTCTTTTACGTCTCAAAAAACGATACAGCTGTGTATATTGCGCGTTGCTCGGTCACTAGTAAATTGCCCTCTGTTTTGTTTATATTTACAACGTCTGCCCTCCTTCGTATTTCGTTTAGTTTTCCATTTTTTTTTTCTTTTGGCTTTTTATATTTGTTCTTGCCAAAAAATAAATAAATTGTTTTTACTCTGTCCTTTGGTTTTAATTTGGATAACAGTTGGTTATGTAAGTATTTGTTTGAATTTAGTTTTGATAAATCAATTTTTAGCTAATAGTTTATTGTGATTTAGTGGCCGTTTGGACATAAGAAATGTGAAATTTTGGAAGAAAGTAAAAAAAAAAATTAAGAGAAAATGATATTTTCAAATTATTGGACATGAATACAATTTAGAGCTGTTTTTTAATTTTTTATGAGTGATTTGAAGTAAAAATTTTGAAAAACTTTGGAGTTTTTCAAAAATTCGAAAAATTCCGAAATTCAACTTCAAGTAAAATTTGAAATTTTTATGGCCAAACATTGGTTATTCACTTTTTCGAAGCAGCCTGGTGCACCAAGCTTCCGTTATGCATGGTTTCTGGGAAAGGGCCGAACCATAAGAGGCTAGTGTACGTAACCTTACACTGCATTTCTGCCATAGACTGTTCTCACGGCTCGAACTCATGACCTTCCCGATCACATGACAACTACTTTAATTTACCAATTACGCCAAAGCTCCTCTTCAAATTATATAATTTTTTCTTTCAACCTAAAATTAATATAAAGTACCAAATTGACTTAGTGCCAAACTAATGGGGCTTTAATGTAAGTACTCAAATTTATCATCGTTAAAAATGTTCAATTTTGGACACAACTATCTACTTCAGTATCAAACATGTCAAAAAATAATAAATACTTATTTGTATCGGGTATTTATACCAACTCAATAAATATATGACACATGTATTTACGAACATGATTATCACTAAATTATAATTACTTAATATATATTTTTATCATTAATTTATCACTTAACCATAATAAATTAAAGTAATTTAGTGTAAACACGCAATATAAGTTTTTTACCATCAAAATTTTAGTTTTTAGTTTAGCTTCATAAAACTTTATGGAACCAAATCTATCTTTACAACTATTGATATTTTAAATTGAGTTTCTTTTTCTTTTTCTTTTTCTTTTTAATTCTTCCCACATATTATTATTAGCATTATTAAAAAGAAGAAATTAATGCTAGTATTATTAGCATTACCAACAAGTGAAACAAACAAATATAGAAGAAACAATAAACAAAACAGACAATAAACATGTTAAGCTCACGTATTTATAGACTTAAATTCATAATCTTTGAATCTTAGATGTCATCGTTATCATCTTACATTAAGACCTCATAATTACTTTAAGTAGGCACGTTTAAAATTATTACTTACTTTACAAGAGATAATTTATATTTTTATCTCATGTATCCATGTACTATGGCCTATTGATTAGTGAAGCGAGTGCAAATTTTGAAGACCAGACTTTAAATTCGAACATAAACAAAAAAAACACTATATGATTTCTTTCTATTTTCCTAATTTTTAAACAAATCCTGTGGACAATATTAGTTATTATCTGTACTGATAGGAAGTGGTGGATATTTGGCAAACTAATTGTGTGCACACATTGGCTCGGATTAGGGATGTTCATTCGGATCGGATATCCGAAATTCGAACCGATTCATTCAATTTCGAAATTTTGGATTTCGGATTGGATCAGATTTCGGATTGTGTTTATTAAAATTTCGGATCGGATTCGGATTGGTATATTTTAATCCGATCCGAAATCCGAAATTTTTAGGGTATATATAAATACTATACTTTAATTTCGGATAGTCAGTACTTCCTTTACATTTTCCTCCAAGCTATTACCATAGTACTCTCATAATTCCATAAACATGAATTTTTATTAATGTATTGCCCCTTTTACAAAGAAATATACATATTAGTTTGCAACTTTGAGGCATAATAATACGATCCGAAATCCGATCCGATCCAAACTTTAAAATCCGATCTGATCCGATATATTTCGGATCTGATTCGGATTGCATTTTCTAGAATCCGAAATTAGAATCTGAAATGTTCTAAATTCGATCTGATCCGATCCGTGCACAACCCTAGCTCGGATGCTATCGTTATAAAAAAAGGTTTATATTTTTTACTTATATCATTGTCATAAAAATAAGTTAATGATAGTCGAGCGTATTCTACTAAGTTTACTAGTAAGAGGGTGTACAGGTCGAGAATTAAGGCATAAGGGTAGTTGGTAGCCGAGTGTTCTTCGTACCTATACCAGTAGTAGTAGCATAGCACGTATTTTCATGTTTTCGTATTTTTAGATTTCTATTATTATATGTTGTTTCTTTCTCTATGGTCATCTTATTATTTTGTTGTTATTACTATTTTTTATTTTATTTTGTATTATTATTGTGCTTATGTTTTCCTATCGTACTTCTTTTCATTATTGTTGTGACTTCCGTACTCTAATTCTTTTTTATTATTATTGTTATTGTTATATTGTCATAAAAATAAAAATTTGTTATAAATATATTATATTATGGATGTTCATTTAGTACTCCGTTATAAATAAACTTCCTGGAGAAACTTATTCATATGGGACTTCGCCGTAAATATGTTTATCTATTTAGTACTCTATTGGAAATAAGCTTCCTGAAGAAGTTTATCACTTCGGTACCCGATTATGGATAAACATTACCTCCGGTAGAAGGTTATTCATATCGGGTATAATAAGTTTATCCTTTCGATATTCCGTTATGGATAAACATTATCCCCAGTAGAAGATTATCCATACCAGGTACAATGAGCTTATCCTTTTAGTACTCCGTTATGGATAATCATTACCCCTAGTAGAAGATTATCTATACTGGATACAATGAGTTTATCCATTCAGTACTCCGTTATAGATAAACATTGCTCTCAATAGAAGATTATCCATATCTGGTATAATAGCAGCTTACACAGCAGCTTGTAGTAGCAGCTTACACAGCAACTTGCAGTAGCAGCTTACACAGCAACTTCCTTTTTTTTATAAATAGAAGAGATTTCAGTTTATTATGTACATCAGTTTGAATTCGAATAATATATCAGTTTCTCTCTATGCGTATCTTTACTTACAGTCCTTATTTTATAACAAAATTCAAAAATCGACATCAATTAAAGTGAGTCCGGAACCAAAATGTGGTTCTTTTGGACAAGTAGCACCTTAATAGGTGTAAAAAAAAAGATGACATTTTTATATATAGAGCCCAAATACCGGGCTCTATACATTAACGTTAACTATGCCGTTAATGTATAGCGCCCAGTATTTGAGCGCTATATATAAAAAGCTGACACTAACAGGTATAGCGCCCAAAAACCTGGCGCTATACATAAAACTTTATGTATAGCGTCTAGTATTTGGGAGCTATATACCTTTTTCGTGGACCCACCAATAATTCCTGACTTCAATAATTCAAAAGCGTATAGTGCCCACTTTTTGGGCGCTATATATATAAAAAAAATTCAACCTAGAATTTCCTATATAAAGAGGTTAGGATTGTATAGAAATTCATTCAAAAGGTGTATATCGTAGAAATTTCCTGGTTAGCCATTTCCATACTCTTGTTGAAACGTTTATAGTTGTTAAATTCTCCAGCATTTTTTTATTATATCTGAAGAGCGTAGAATAAGAGTTTCATTATATTGGAGGGGTGAGGTTGTGATGAAGAATAACTCTATGGGCTACAGTTTACCTGCTCAGTGTCATGTTAAATTGCCACTTACGATGGAGTACGATAAATTGATATCGTTGTTATGCAAAAAATGAGTGTGAGGAAACGTTCAGTGATACTTAAAGTAACCGGAAGATATCCGTATTCCGTCACTCAGCAAGCGGTTGTTTTTTACTCGGAGTTTACATCGACGATGATGAAACTTTGAGTGATTTTCTAAGGACTCCGGATGAATGTCGGAAATTTCTTATAATCACAATGTTGGAGATGTACGTGAAGGTCGAAGACGTTCCAAAAAACGAGGTTGTGCGTAGTAGAGATAACCCCCAATCATCGGGTGGTTATTCTGAAGCAGTTTTTGCCGGACAGGTTCCGGATGAAAGAGTTTTCCTTGATTTAAACTTATCACCGCCGGCGAATGAGCAGCGAGAAAATAATTTATACCCTGCTTTCCATAATTCACAAGACGAGTGGTAAACTTCAATTTTCATTTGTGTTAATTATGTATATTTTTGGTATTTTGAATTTGTATTAACGCTCATATATTTAATAGGGGGTACCGGCCGGATATGAATTTCACAAGTGGCCCATCTGGTAGTCATCACCTAATTGAAAACGTCCATCCTGGAATTTCATCACATTACGACTTGTAAGTGAAGTGATATAGCCATATGGAAAGCATTTATTAATTCAGTAGCTTATATTTATGTTGGTTGTGCAGTGAAAACGAGCAAGCTGAACCACCCGTACTCACTCAATTGCCCGAAAACGACGTATTACATCGGGATCTGGCGGATGCACAGAGTGAGGAATAGAACAATTATTACGATAACAATGCCGATGAATCCGGAGACGAGACGCACTTTCCTCGTGAGGATGGTGATGTGCAGGATGAGTAGGAAGGACCTGATTTGCAGAGAGACCCACATAGACGAAGAGT